ATTTCAATGTTTCCATATTGGTTTGCATTTTATTTTTTCTTTTATGAAATGTGATAAAATAGTTTCCTCTAATACATGGCACAATATGTCTTTTTTCTAAGTATCATTAATTTTAGTGGAAAGCTTTCCATTAAAAAATTAGCTGAGGAAAACAGAGAAATATATTTGGCCATATATGTTTTGATAATGAAAATATTTCAAACCAATATATTTTTTTCACTTATATGATATTAACTTTATCTACATTTTTAGTTTGGTTCAATTGACTTTAATTTATGATTTATTATTTGAATTATGTCCATTCTCTCTTTTTTTAACTAGATAATTTCTTGCTAATATTTAATTTTCAACTTTTTATATTCTTTGAATAACTTTAGAAGTTAGTTTTTAATTTAAAAAAGTTCACTTTAATTTTGTTTCACAGAGTACTAGTTCATTCCTATGGGGTTTGAATGATGTTTTTATTATACATTGTTAAAATTCTTGTTTTTCATTTCTAATTTCATCCTATGTTCCTTATTTCTAAAGATATTATGTAATTTGTATATGATAAATTAAAGTAAAAGTTTTCAAATTCCTCTCTCAATTACTTTAAGTTCTTTTTGGTTGAGAAACAACTTATTTGGGCTCTACAGATGACAGTGTTCTCTTTTGACACACTTTTAGTCTTATTTTGACTCTTCATGTTAAGTACTTTACGTGCAAGTCATCATTTAACCTTATATCCAGTTGAACCTGGGATTCTTTCTTTTCTCTTTCATCTTTGACTCAACAAATATTGACGTGCATCTGTTCAACTTAATTCAGCTGGGTGATTGCTCACAATTACAGGATTGATTAAAGAAAATCAGAAATGTGTGTGTATATTATATATGTATATATATATGTAGCTTTATCATATACATAAATATTTATTAGATTTATATTTATTTTTGTTTCTAAGGGTCTGAATCCATAATTCCAATCACTTAAAAGGAAAGTAGCTGAATTAGTATTCTTAGAATTGAATGGAAGAATATGAAGTTTAAATGAAACCTTAAAAATAAGTTTTATTCACTTTTAATATTCTTGACCATGAGAGGATAAGAATATGTTTGCATGGTTGTAGTGGCTTGAAATTTAAATAAGAATTTTCATGATCTAATCAAATGAGCTTTTCCATGTTTCCAATTTTCCTTTTAATTCACAATTTTCTAATCAGTCTTCAAAAATTGTGTCACTGATTAATATAGATGACAGGGAAAAAAATGACCTTCCAACCATGTGGAAAAAAAAATACATGTCTCTCTGAGAGAGAAAACAATCTTTTTTTTACTATTGACATATGGAGAGTGGTGAAGAGGATGAGGACAACTTTCCTCCTCTAGCATGAATCAATTGGCAGCCCTTTTGCAGAGGTTTATTTGACCTTTGTTCTCTAAGTTAGAATATTGACTGAGTGCTTTCTTCTGGTTCAATCTGCTCTGTGTGGAAAGTTAATATTTATTGCTTTCCACTAAGTGTTGATGTAGGTATTCCTTTGATTGAAGTCATTTAATGTGCTTTCCAACTGTTCCTTTGGGGAAAGTGTCCACTGCTTCTAAGAATGGAATCTGATAAGAGCATCACATTTATTTCTGCCAGTCTTTTATCCTCATTACCCAAGCTAATGGTGTTCTTCAGCTGGCAAGTGGAAACTTGAGGTAATGATGCACATTAGAGATCGGACCCAGTGCAGCTAGAGACAGATTACTTTCACCAGGCCTATGTCCCCATTCATTATGAAGTAGAAAAAAAGATTTATATCCTTAGCCCCTGAGGATTTTTGTAGGTTCTTGTGTTTCAATGGCTTCCCCCAACCCCAGCCTTTTGTTTTTTTGTCTAAAAAAGGAAACCACAGCTAAACATTAGCAGAGACATATGAGTATTACCTCAATAAAGCATATTACAAGTAATGTTATAAGTATCCTTCCTCCAGAATGTCATTCGGATTTTTAGTCTCCATTATTAATTCAAACCATGTCAGATTATGAAGCATCTGACTTTCTCTTTATAGGTACTCTGTTTATCTGATGCTTTAAAATTACTGGTTGATATGTTCTGTATTAAACCCAGTCAACCGATTCATTCAAAAAGCAGCTACAGAAATCAAATAGATTGATTAGTTGTGTCAAGTAAGCATTGCCTGTGTTGACCATTAATTCATTTTTATCTCAGTTTCTCAGGGGAATCTCGGTGCTTCTTCATATTCCAGCCTCTCTCCAAAGAATGTTTATGACATACTTAAATTTACTGGCTTGTAGCTAGTTAAGAAATTATTGTCTCCATCTGGACTTCTCATGAAGCTTGGCAAGAAGAAGCCTCCAGTACTGGTTCATTTCTGAATGAGAGGCGGTTTCACTAAAGGTCATTTCAGTTGTCAGATGAAGAGAGTAAACACTAATATAAACAGTATATCTTTGTTAACCTGATAACACAAACATCTATGACCCCTTCATAAAACCTGAGGAATCTATGACATAACAGGCTTCAGGAGGTCAACTAGGAGGAGCTAGGAGTGTGGAAAAGTAACCAAGTCTGGGTTACTAAATTACAGAATGCCAAGGCCAAGTATTACTTGGTTCAGGATGGCATTAAGAAATTAGGAGAGAGGCAAACTAGCTAACCAAGCTCAGTGGGATCACTTGAGAAGATTATGTTAGGCATAAATAATTCACAATTTTATTGATGCTGCAGAGAAAACTTTACTGTGGAAATAATCATAGCAATTGGGAAACTTCTCTTTTTGTTGGCTTACACTGGGCAGTCCAAGATAAATCTGTTTTTCTGTTGGATAGAAACTGTTGGGCTAATATAGTTTTATAATCTTTGGAAACTTTCGTTGTTTATTTTTGTTTTGTTGCTTTTATTAAGTCAAAACTTTTAGTATTTTTCTAAAGGCGAAGAAGAATCCTATGGCTTGATTAATAGAATTCCTTAGGGAATAAAAATTCAGCTACTCATACAAGGCCTTGGGATGCCATTTTAGAGTTGATGTTTTAAGCCTGTGATGAGACACCATAAATCATCTTCAGCAGAGGCCCCTCATCTCTGAAAGCAACACCGAAGAGCCTGCTATCCTTACTCCCCTCAGAAACGATGAAGACCATTAAATAACACTTTCATACCTTTAGACTCATTTTAATTTATTAGCTACAGTCTATGTACTTGCTCTTGTTCTGCCTTTACAATGCTCAGTGTCAGCTTCTTGAATGATCGAATGATGTTTATGAGATTTTCTGAGTAGCCGGTCTTTCTCTGGATTCCATTAATAGGCTAAGAAAACCAAATTATTTGGTAACATTTCATAGAACGTATCTAAAGTACTCTCTGCAAGAGTTACACATTTCCATTTCCTTTATTTAGGAAATGTGTGTTGAATGACCGACTGCTAGGGTTCCAGGCTTTCTCTAAACGTTACAGATACTTCAGCAGAGGCGGAACGATAATAACTCAGAAAGATAAATAAGATACATGCAATGTTTGGTGGTGATAAGTGAAAAATGAAGCAGGAAAGGCATATAGAGAGCATAGGGGTTGCGATTTTTACAAGATAAAGTGCTAAGAGAAGTCCTCACCAGAAAGGTGACATTCAAATAATAACCAAAAGGAGGTGAGCAAGTCAGCCTTTCTGATGTGTGGAAGATGATGATTCCAGAAGGAAGAACCCCTGAGATGGCAGCTTAGCTGGCTTGTTCAGGGAACAGTAAGGATAGTGTGTCTAGAGTGAGAACAAAGGTGAGAGTAGTAAGGAAATGAAGAAAAAGAGGTCAAATAGATAATGAAAATAAAAACCAGGTAGGGCTTTATATGCCCTTATAAAGGTTTGAACTTTTACTGATTGGAATGAGAGCCCTTTGACGAACTGGGCAGAAAACTGATTTGATCTGCCTTGACATTTTAAAGGCAGCCCTAGCTATCCTGTTGAGATAGACAAAAGAGGAGGAGGGCATAGGAAGCAAAGGAACCAGTTAGAAAGCTATTGTAATTGTCTGGTTAAGAGATGATGGCCAATTGGAGCAGGACTGTAGTAGTAGTCGTAGTGGTGAACTTCCTGATGCATTTGACATCAGACTCAGAGATTTATTGACACACTGAATGTAGGCAGAAAAAAAGAGGAGTTGAAGGTTTCCAAATTTTTCCTATCCCCTAATTAGCACAAAAGCTACTTCTGAATATGATTGTTTATATTTAAGCCCTTTCAACGCTAATTTTACATGGTATTTTACTGTTACCTATAAATATTAAAAGTTATTGAAATTGTGGTCAATTAGTATATATTTATCAAAACCGTACCAAATCTAACACAAGGCATTGTTCAAAAACGTAGTGTTAAACAGGTTCCTTTTACCTCTAGAGTCTTATTTTCCAGACTATTGGGAAGGAATGTGGAAGGAAATGGCTCAGTAATCATAATCTAGTCACTAAGGGAATGTGTGATTGTTTGGCTCCTGGGGTCAGTCAAGTAGCCAATGAGGCTTAGGTTCCAGGTACTCTTTGTATGAGCCCATGTGCTTTGTGTGTTCCGCTCCAGAGAATCAATTTCTGGCCTTATACATCCACCTCAAAAAGGCATGCCCTTGCTCACAAGGGAAGCCTGTAAAATATATGGAAAGGTCAGTCCAGATCCATCATCATTGCTAGGGAAATAACTAGCAGCGCTTCCTTTATTTACCAACAATGAAAGTAAATAACAGCATCCCACATTTAGACAACACATTATGACTAAGGAAATGAAGAATACAAATGCTCAGTGGACTGTTTTCCTATAAGAAGTGAACTGAAACACACACACAGTGAAGCATATATATGAATTATTAATAAATACTTTGTAAGCATTTTTTTGTTTTAAAGAGGCATTAAAACTACAGGAATAATTTTTCATGAGTAATGTAAATATTTTTAAACAAATAAACAAAAACAAACAAAAAAAGTAACCTGACTGTCTTTTGCTAAACTTACTTCCTTCTCTTTTATTCCAGAACCGACAGATAGGCCGCCTATGCTGTTAATTGCAAATTCTGAAACAATCGAGGTTTTCTATCTTAATGGAAGCAAAATGGCAACCCTGAGCTCAGTCAATGGAAATGAAATTCATACTCTGGATTTTATTTACAATGAAGATATGATTTGTTGGATTGAATCAAGAGAATCTTCAAATCGGCTCAAATGTATCCAGATAACAAAAACAGGAAGATTAACAGATGAATGGACAATCAATATTCTTCATTCCTTCCACAGTGAGTGTTTAAATGCATGTTATATGCCATCCTTTAAGGGTTTCATTTGCAGATCAGAGATGGGATTCTTAGATTTTCTAGCATTGTTTATGGTTATTAGAAAGCTATATATTCAAATATGTATTCACTTAAATAAATGCATTCACTTCATGTTTTGCATATACACAAATGCAAGTAGAAGCACTGTGTAAGTAGTAAATTGCAGAGTTAATTTTAATGCTTTCTTGAATACTTATTACAGTGTCACTTAGATAAGAATTGTTATTTTTCACTGAATAAGTCACAATGTTACAGCAAAAGTGGGATTTTAAAAAAAAGCAAGAATCTTAGATGATAATTATAACCTTATCAACTGTAGTGTTTATTGAAATCCCTTAAAAACTATGATGTTTATGTTATTTGGTAACACCTACCTGTGTTTGTAGACTTTTTCCCTAGCAAATCAGTTTTTATACATCTTCTTCAGAAAGAGTGATTTATGATTTTGATTGACATTGATTTCTCATGCCAGAAATTTACAAAGTAGTAACTGTCCTTTTCTTCCTGCATATTACCATAAACTGAAATCATATTGTTGCATGTGTGTGCACACACACACATACACACATACACATGTGTTCTCTCTTTCTTTCTTTCTCCTGCTCTCCACCCCTCCCACATAGAAGGATAAACATTAATTTGTGCTTACCTGGGGAAACAGTATGCATGAGAATTTCAGATGTGTCTGTTTATTTTATGACTTAAAGGAAAAAAAACTTATTCTTAACTGTTAACATAGAAATTGGTAGAAAAATGACGATCAATATATAATCAAGTCAGAAAGGATAAAAAGAGAATGCTGTGATAGAATAGAATAAATGTAGTTTCGTATGTAGAATAATCGCATTTTATTGTTTTTAGTATACAGTTAAAGGGATTGGTTATTGATCTGTATTGAACAAGAAAATAATACAATGTAATGCTTGATAACTATGATTAGTTTAAATCATTGGCAAAAATTATGAAAAATGGAATGTAAATATATGAGTATACATACTTAAGGGAACAACTGATTAATGAATAGAACTGAAGATCATTTTAACATACATCAAACAATTGACAAAGCTATTTATTATGACAATAGGCCAAAATACCTCATGAAAGCAGTGGATACTGGCTATTTCAGGGACTCTATGGAGAAATAATAACTTATAATAAATAGTAAGTAACAGGTGCTAGTAGCACAAGAACTACCATGTGACTTGAGTATTTGAGACACATTAGCTTAGCTAGACATTGGAAATTGTTTGAACAAAAGGCTCTCGTTCCTGCTGTGTTAGTGAATACCTCAGCTGATCCAAATGTATTTATCGCCAGCAAATAGAATATGAGCAGTTTAAATAGCTAGAGCATTCACTAAGCCGCCAGTTAAAATGATTTTCCAAGCTTGTTTAAGCAACTTTTTCTCTTTAATAGCTCTAATAATGGTAGTAATCCTTTCCTTAACAGGTATTTTTTAAATGCTTTTCTTTAGTAAACCTGGGGGTGGTCAAGCAACTGGACATTGAGATATTTATACAAAACTAATTTGTAACTTAGTTTGCATTTGATTTATGGAATAGTTCTTGACAAATCTAAAAAAATAAAGAGATTGACTTTTGTTAGGTAATTCACTGAAATGCTGAAGAGAACATTCATTTTCAACTGTAAAAAATAAAAGTAATAGAACTATTTTAATTAGAATAAAGCATTTTTGACCAAGTCAGATTTAAGCTGTGTAATTTCAGTCACTTTAGGAAAAGTGATTGAATGTGTGGAAATAATTTAATGATGGGAGTAGGACAGAGAGGTGTGAGCAGGGCTGGGCTCCTCTATGATTGCTTATAAGCCATATGTATTTTTATCACCATGTTGTAGAACAGCTGCCATTAATGTGATGGCTCTGCATTCACCATGACAACTTCTGAGTTGATAATGATGTTTGAATATTCTTTACATGAATAATTACATAAAAACTCTATTGTACTATATAAGTTAAAATGATGAACTGATGAGAATATGCCTAAATATGTCACTGTCCACTATTCCAGAGATCATGTCATTAGCTTCCCCTTCCCCATTATTTTTAGATGATTTTCTCTGAATATACCAGAAGAAAACATTGATTTTTTGAAAAAAATATATATAATTTTTCAAATGATTACTATGAGGAGAAAACTGAGTTATTTTACAGGCCAAACTGACTTGCATTTAAAAATTGCAAAATAAAATATTAATAAATATTTTATTGCAATATTAAAATTGTTATTGTATATCTCTTCTCTTTAGATAACCACCACATCTCTGTGGACTAAGCAGGAGAGATATAGCCTTCCTGTTTTATAACAGACAAAATTTTAATGACAGGATTCAGATGTGTTAAGCAATACTAAATGGCTAAAAAGAAGGCAGAGATAGCATATCTCAAGTCTATGTTCTTTCTTTTATAATAGAAAGGCAAATACTGGTCTTTTCAAAGAATGTCCCAAATCTATCAAATAATAAGTATCCATAACTTAGTGAATTTGCTAAACGACCATATGCGGTAAGGGGACATTATTCCCCTTATGCTGGAGGGAAAATTGAGACATGGAGAAACTAAGTAACAGCACGCAAGAATTGGCTACAGGTTTGAGTTGGGTCACACTTCACAGCTTTTCTAAATGCTACGGCCACGGTGGGCTTCAGCTTTTGTTTTTCACTTTAGTGAGCCAAAGGTTAGGTATACTAATGCTAGTAACAGTGGTTCCCAAAGACGGTCTCTAAATAGGAAAGAGGTGTAAGAATCGGGAAGGGAGGCGGACAAGTTGTGAGTTGTGGAAGGCTGCGTCATTTGAAAAGGCCCATCAGATGATTCTGACATGGCTGCCTTGAGAGGCCTCCTTTCAGCTTAAGAATCCTAAGCAATATTGTGAGGGAATGAACAATACTATTCTCAATAAACCATACTAACTGAAGAATACTGGGGGAAATGTGAAGACTATATTTCTTATCAAATCTTACTCTCATTTTTAAAGAAGCCTGATATTTATTATCGAGCATTTTTGCCTGAAAGTTGCAGACTGAAGAAAATTTTGAAAGTAGGTGTTTCATAAGCAAAATTGGTTCTCCAATTAAGTTTTCACAGAAAGCGCATTTGCAACAACTAATTATTTCTCAAAATTTTTCTTGCAGAGTGCTGTGGTAGGAACACCGATCCAAAACCAACAAAAATGATAAGATTCACAAAAGTAGTGAATTTCCAGCTATTTCCTCAAGATAAAATACACAGAATATTTTCTGTGTTAATCCCTTATTCAGGAACATTATTCAAGGCCATATTGTTCCCTGTCATGTGGACAGTACATACTTCCATTCTGTTTCTATATGTGATCTTTTAGCATTCTGCAAAATTTGAGTATCACTTGTAGGATTCTAATATGAACTTGGCCATATTGTCGTGACCCATTCATGAGCTTATCTCCAGCTGAGCAGAATATGGCTAGCCAAAACAAAAAAGGACTGCTCCTTCATAGACTTTACTTCTGAATTATCCCCATTCACTCTCTTTTGTCTTTCCTTTCTGTTTTTTCATATTTCTGTCAGTCTTGCCTCATTTTCCTTTTGAACCTCTGCTAGATCCATTAAATTAAATCCTTAGTTGGGTAATTTTTGGGTTCTGACACTATACCTCTGTCTTTTATCAATCATACTTCTTTCCCTTGAGTAACAATTCTTTAATAATCACATAATATTAATAAATAGCATTACTGAATGTTTATTTTGTACATTAAGAATTCTACAAATATGCCTCATTGCTTTCACAAAAATGATAAGATATGCATGTTGTTTATAATTGTCAGTTTTATAGATGTAAAGAATGAGTTGAATAAGTGAATTTTTTTAAGTTAATAAGAAACCATTACCTCTTGGTCTCAATAGATACTAAGCAATGCCTTTCTTACTTGTGAAATACACCCTATTTTCTTTAGGGCAGTCTAGAGATTTCATAGCTTTCACTGCTTTACAAGCATTCTCCTTCAAGGTAGGGCTGGACAAGAATGTCCAGGCTGTGTCCTTCTTACAAATATAAGCCTAATCTTGGGAGAAAATAATCTACCTATAACAGTTGAAATATTAGTTCCTAATGTGAGCTCATACCAAGTGTGCACTTTAGAAAATGATTTTGGAACTTCACAGCAACACCTTAACATTACATAATGTCACATGTGATATAGAGAGCAGCACAGAATCTTCGCATACCTTATTTATAAGGCATATACTTGAATATTGGATTTTTATGAACTTTCCTCTATGATTATTTTTCTCTACCTGATTGGTAAAAAAGTCATTCACATTGTTTTAAGTTGCCTTTTTATGATCACTGACAAGGTTGTGTGTGCCAGTGTGGACTTACATGTCCATTTTGATCTCTATAATTCTTGTTAGAGTGATCATGATGCTCTATTACTTAAAACAAAAGTCATTTAGTAGCTTCCCATTTATCTCAGGATAAAATGAAACTTCATCATCTGACTTTTCCATAGGCAGATGACCTACCTTCCCTCTCTGCACTCAAAAAAAACCCATGTTCTGCCTAAAAAATAGTACCTATAATTCCTTTATTGCACTTTGTTTTCTCACTTCCATTTATCTTTATATATGTTGCTTCTTCACCATGGAACAGGCTCCCGTTTCCTATAACCAATAATCTCTTATTCATTCTTTAATATCTCACGTCCTTACCAAAAGTTTTCCAGTTGAGTTTAGCATCTCTTTCTATGTGATCCTAGGACATAATAGCTCAAGTGCATTATATTTCAATTTTTTACCTATTAGTTTGCTAAATAAAAGGTGAGTCCTTCAAATTTAGGATATGAGTAAAGGGTAAGTTGTTGAGAATCAGAAGGAACAACATTGCAGTCAACTTCTGGAGAGAGTGTGACAGATCAGTACCAGAGACATTTAGGAAACCGGTCTGCGTGATGGCTAAGTAAGATATG